ATCGATACCCACCACCAGTACACTGGGTGGGGTGGATACAACTAAGTCGAAAACAACGACTGTGTACAATCTTAGTCGGTTCACACACTCAGCAAATATAGGGAGTGTGTCGCTCCCGAATTAAACAACCCTAAAAGGAATACCAACCACCATGCAATTACCTCTCGCCGGATCATCAACACCTGATGTCCCTGCGCCACTCGGGGTAACCACTCGACCGTGGTCCCTTGCCTCCTATGCATGAATGACATTAAGTCTCTGATCTAGCTTGGGACAAAACCTTTTAATGTGGCCAAACTTCTTGCAGTGGAAACATCCATTCCCTTTTCCCGGGCATGTACTTCCATAATGGAGTCTACTGCACTTGTTGCACGTGGGAGTAGAAACCCCTTCGGTAGGAACGGTAAGTGGGCTAGACCTTTGGAAACTTCGGTCACGATGAACAGTAATTGCCGCATAAGGTTTCCGGTCATCTTCCACTCTCTCCTTACCTCTTCCTTGTCTATGGTTGCGTTGGGGTCCATAGTCCCGGTGAAAATTTGTTTCGGGCATCGCCAACTCAACCGCCTTCAGATTATCCTCGTACATCCTGCACTTGTTGACCAAAGTAGCAAAGTCAGCAATCTCCTGATGTCCGAACATCCTTTTCAGCTTGGGTCTTAAGCCCGATTCAAATTTAGAGCACTTGGATCGTCCGTCCACTTCCAACTCAGAGTAGGGACAAAACCTGGCCAATTCCTCGAATTTAGCCGCATATTCCCCAACCGACATTTTTCCCTGTTCCAACTTCAAGAACTCCATTTCCTTCTTCCTTTTCAGATCAACATGGAAGTATTTGTGAAGGAATTTTGCCTTGAATGTACTCCAGGAAATCAATTGCCCCTCCACCTCCATTTGGCGTCTAGTAAACTCCCACCAGTTCTCGGCCTCCGTCACTAGTATGTAAGTGGCATAGGCCAACTTCTGAGCCTCCGAACAGTTCATGGCCCGGAAGATCCGCTCCATTCCCTGAATCCACTCAAGGGCAGTATCAGGAGCAAATCCCCCATGGAACTGACTAGGGTTCCTTCTGCAAAACTATCCAGACCTTGGTACTCTGCCGATCCGGGTGGGACTAGGTTTGCGAACTCGGACTTGGTGCAGGGTTCTGATTCAGACTACGCAAGTTCTCGTTCATCTGTTGTAGTGTAGCCACCATCTGAACCAACAAATCATTCTGAACGTTCTGACTCGTTCCTCTTCCAGCCATGCCTTAACCTGCTCTTATGGATAGTCAGTACACCAATTTTAACTCACACAAGTCAGGTTATCACATAGTCTCATAGTACATCATATGTCACTACACCAAGGCTAAATGCTTTAAACATTCAGTTCACACAATTTCAACTAATCACATCATAAACATGTTACAAAGAAGCAAGTAAGGCCATACCCTAGGCCGCAGAATTAACTATGCTCTGATACCATGTTGTAAATACCCAAATTCTACCCTTGAAAATTTTTCGTTTATTTAAAATCCTCCCTTAAATACATTCATCATTTTACTTAAAAATCCTCATGAATCATTCCTTGAAACTAATCTTTTAACCTATTATATTATCATACAATTCCTATTGCAGAAAAACATAATTCGTTCTATTTGTAATTACCACATACACCCAGTTATGGGTTTCCAAGAGTTATAACATCCATAATTACATATCTCCATTATTATCCTTATCATATTTACATTCATCCCAAAATATTATCTAATCAACTACAATGTCAAAGTAACGATAAAGACATTCAAGTTAATAAACACATAAGATTCCTAAGTGAGCTTCCTCCTCAAATTCTTCATTTACCTACAATGGGATTATCATAAACAACACACAAAAACAAGGGAGTAAGTCATTAGTTCAAAAACTAACATTACATGATAATCCACATTTCAAACACGATTAAGCATTAATATAATTTATAACCACAAATACGTAAATGTAAACATTCATATCTTCCTTCTTTCATTTCCATGTTATTCATATTCATCCTATAGTATATATATCCCATAATATATATTCTATAGCATGCATATTACGTTCATTCGAAACATCATCCTTCTCATTATTCATATCCACCCTATAGAACATATATCCCATAATATATATCATTTAGCATGCATATTACTTTCATTCTTACATCTTCATTTCTCATCCTTCATTTTCACCCTTTATCATATTCATCAAGTTCATTTCCCATACCATATCGAGCAGGTCGAGTTCATTCCCCATACCACATCGGGCAGGTCGAATTTATTTCCCATACCACATCGGGCAGGTCGAGTTCATTCCCCATACCACATCGGGCAGGTCGAGTTCATTCCCCATACCACATCGGGCAGGTCGAGTTTATTCCCCATACCACATCGGGCAGGTAGAGTTTATTCCCCACACCACATCGGGAAGGTCGAGTTTATTCCCCATACCACATCGGGCAGGTCGAATTTATTCTCCATACCACATCGAGCATGTCGAGTTTATTCCCCATACCACATCGGGTAGGTCGAGTTTATTCCCCATACCACATCGGGCAAGTCGAGTTTATTCCCCATACCACATCGAGCAGGTTGAGTTTATTCCCCATACCACATCGGGCAGGTCGAGTTTATACCCCATACCACATCGGGTAGGTCGAGTTTATGATACATACCACACTGGGCAGGTCGAGTTTATTCCCTATACCACATTGGGAAGGTCGAGTTTATTCCCCATACCACATCGGACAGGTCGAGTTTATTCTTATTTCCACATAATACAACCACTCCGGTTAAGGCATCAAAAATACACCATAACAATTTCGGGTAGGGTAACAACAATAAAACACTACTACCTCGGGTCGAGTTACAATAACAATCCACTACCACTTCGGGTAGGGTAACAACAATATTCTTACAAATACATTACCTTTTTCACATACCTCTTTCACATCAGCTAGTATGATTTAAAGACACTTATCCCTTACGTTGGTGAGTGTTGGGGATCGGTTCCGAGTAACTTTAAAAGTCTCCTCCGTGATTTCCTCCAACCTTAGGATCTTTCCTGATTTCCACCAATAACAACAATGTCAGTCATTTATTCTAAATAACACATAAACAACTCGCATTTCATCATCAAACATACAAGGGATTCACATATTTTCAAGATTTCCAAAACTACTTCAACACAAGTTTCCAAACATCTAAACATACATGTCCATCTCATATATCAACATCAAATCACAAACTCATCATCCACATTTAACATTTCATCCATTTCTCTTTTTACTCATATTCTCATTTTGGGGATTTTTGGGGTTTTCATGAATAACCCACAAAACCTTTCAATTCATCAAATACCAACTCTAAACCAAGAGTTTACAAGAGAAAAACAACATAAAATGAACCATAACTCTAAAGGATGAGTTTCCATGGTTTCTGATGTTTTGAAAAGAGATCCAACATACCCAAAACAAGTTAGAGAGGAAGAAGAAGAGTTAGAAATAAGAGGTTTACCTTTTCTCAAGTATAAGATGATTCCTAAGGCTCTTTGCTCTTGAAAAGCTCTCCTCTCTTCAAAGTTCTAACCCAAAAATGTGTTTGGGGTTTCTATTTTAAAGAGGAGTCGTCGGGTTCTCGCTCAAATGAGTCCATTCTCGCTCAGGCGAGAAAATCCCGCCTTTTTAAAATTTCAGATCTGACGCTCTCGCTCAAGTCAAGTTTTTAGAGCCAAAAATCACTTTCAGCATCAGTGGGGAAACAATATGTTACAGTAATCGATTATTGTAATGGTGTAATCGATTACAGAGAGACACTGTTTGAAAATTTTGAATTTTGAAAGTGAGTAATCGATTACTCACTCAGTGTAACCGATTACTCTATGCAGTTATATATATGAACTGCTGCATATTTTCATAAATCCTCCATTTTCTCTATCCTGTAACATGAGTTCTTCCCTCTCTAAACCCTCTCAATTGCTAAAAACCTCATTTCTACTCCGTTTTGATTGATTTTTGTTGCAAATCACATCTCATTCTTGATTCTAAACACATCTACACCTTCTATTTTGTGATTTGTGGCCTCAATCAAAAACCCCCAAATTTCCAAAAATCCTAAACCTTCAAAAACCAACAATGGCTTCTTCCTCAAAGAGACCACGTTCTTCAAAGTCTAAGCAAGGAGAATCAACTTCCAATTCCAACCCGTTGAACTTGACGAGGCTTCTTGCAAATGACGCTCAAAGGAAGGTCTTCAAAGAAAACTTCCATGGACGCGCCATCTTCACTCCTAAATACGGTAACATTGGGAACTTTGAGTTTGAAGATTTTTTATTTCCTTATCTTCTGCCGCAACAAAAACTTTTTGACTTTTGCTGCGAAGCGAACGATATCTATCCTGAGCATGTTCGCGTATTTTACTGCAATATGAACTTTAGGAAAAATCTCATGACTTCCCATGTTAAGGGAAAGGACATTGTTTTGGATATGAAAACCTTTAGTTCTATTTGCTGTGATATACCTATGACTGGCGACATAACTAGTTTCGGCTTGGTTTGTGAATGGGATGATTACGATCGCAAGAAATTCTATCTTTACATTTGTAGAATTTCTAAAGAGGAAATAGAAAGGCGAAAGCAACAAAGCCTTGGTGAGACTGTTAAGAATAGGGATATCCTCTGCGCTGGATATCTCACGCTGGAAGATCGTTTGATACATTATTTTCCTACCTATGTCATTTTGCCGAAATTTTCAAATCATTCGCAAATAAGTGACATAGAGCTCCAATTGATTTATGCTTTTAAGTTTAACATCAAGATAAATTGGACTAAGATGATAATGAAACAAATGTGGCATGTTCGAGGCTCCCAAAGTCCGTTGCCCTACGCCTTCTTTGTTACCAAAATCCTTAAGCATTTCGGCGTATCCTTAGAAGGTGAGACCAAAGTGGCCCCCAATCTTCGCGAAAGCAAGGTTGATATTGAGCCATGTATGCTCGGAAATGAGCCCCTCCGGTTCATTCTGACCATCCACGGGGACTGGGAGTCTAGCTACCGAGCCTAGAGCAGAGCGGAGATTGAGAGGGGTGTTGTTACGGTACCGTAGCCCTAATAAATTCCACACCATCAGTCTTCCTCAACGCTTATTCTAGGACCGACGTTCGCCAACTTGAGTTATTGATCGAGTTTCTACAACCGCATACGATATTAATCAGAAGTAAGCGATAGAACCCTGGGTAGGGGTCGGGAGCGATAATATAGGGTGTTGTTGTTAGCCCCCGGCGACTGAGGGGAGGAGTGGGAGGTAGCCCCCGGCGATTGAGGGGAGGTAGTGAGCCCCCGGCGATTGAGGGGAATAAGTGACTGATCCACGGGTGTGGGTCAGGAACGATAGATCTATAGGGATATGGTTTGTATGTACGAGTAATAGAGTATATGTCTTACTTCACTTATAGGAATAGAGTATGGGTCAGGGTAGCGGAACAAGGCCTAGATTACCTTCTTAGGTAATCGAGTAAGGCCTTTACCTTACCTTTATATAGAGTAAGGGTAGCGGAACAAGGCCTAGATTACCTTCTTAGGTAATCGAATAAGGCCTTTACCTTACCTATTCATATGTATACAGTACAGTATAGCTACTCCTTATACCATAACTAACTACTAGATAAGGTAAGGAGTAGCGTTATAGGTATGACACTTAATGTAAGACCCTATGTTATAGGGTCTAATCTATAGTATAATGTGTTTAAGGTAGTCTATGCTATAGACTACCTATTACTATGCCTTAGGAGTATGGTATGTATAAGATGTGTACCAGACCCCCCGGAGGGAGGGCGGGGCTCTGCTCCGTCCACCTCCCCTGAAGGCAATATATAGCTAAATGGTAAGTTAATACTCACCAGTTAGCTATAAGATTGACCTTATTTTCAGGGTATGGAGCCACGTCGTCACACCGCATGCTACTTCCTTAAATAGGATTTTCTCCCCTAAGTAAGGTCCCATGACCTCGAGGCATGGGAAGCGGTTGATATTACCTCTCTCGGCATCTTCAGGGTCAATCAACCAGTTGTAGCCTTCTCGTCTCGATCAACTCTGAGTCCGAATAGCCCGTAATTGTTGTTTGAGCCACAACACTTGTGCACAACAACTACCGAAAACAATATATTCCGCTTCAGCGGTGCTTAAGGCAACACAAGCTTGTTTCTTGCAAGACCAAGAAACTAAAGCATTCCCTATAATGTGGCAAGTACCACTTGTACTTTTTCTCCCAGACTTGCATCCCGCAAAGTCTGAATCCGAGAAGCCAACCAATTCGAATACGCTTCCCTTGGGATACCACAGTCCAACATCGGTTGTGCCTTTGAGATACTTCATGATTCTCTTAACACGAACTAGATGTGATTCTTTGGGTTTAGATTGATATCGCGCACATAGACATACACTAAACATAATATCAGGTCTACTGGCTGTAAGATATAAAAGAGATCCGATCATACCTCGATACTTGGATATTTCAATACATTTTCCAGCGTCATCAGCATCGATGTATGTACTTGATCCCATGGGAGTAGCAATCGGCTTGCAGTCATCCATCTCAAATCTTTTCAACAAGTCTTTGCAATACTTGGACTGACTTACAAAGATTCCATCACTAAGTTGCTTAATTTGGAGTCCAAGAAAGTAATTTAACTTTCCCATCATCGACATCTCAAATTCTCCTCGCATCATATTGCCAAATTCACTACACAAACAGTCATTAGTAGAACCGTAAATAATATCATCAACATAGATTTGAACAAGTAAAGTATGATGATTTATCTTCTTAATAAATAGTGTAATATCGACCTTGATTATGTAAAACCTTTTTCTGTTAGAAAGTTGGTTAGACGGTCATACCAAGCACGTGGAGCTTGCTTTAAGCCATAGAGGACTTTCTTTAACTTATATACGTGAGAGGGATGTTTGTAGTCCTCAAAACCAGGAGGTTGTTCTACAAATACTTCCTCTTGTACATACCCATTAAGGAATGCACTCTTTACGTCAAATTGGTAAAGCTGAAAGTTCAAAGAGCATGCATATGCAAGTAGCAGTCTAATCGCTTCAAGTCTAGCAACCGAAGCGAAGGTTTCATCAAAGTCTATACCTTCCTCTTGGTTGTATCCTTGGGCTACTAATTTATCCTTGTTTCTAATGATTATACCATTTTCATCTGATTTATTGCGAAATACCCAGCGAATTCCTATTACATGCCTATTCTTAATTCTAGGAACAAGTTCCCAAACTTCGTTTCTCTCAAACTGATTAAGTTCTTCTTGCATAGCAAGAATCCAGTGTTCATCCTCGATTGCTTCATCAATCTTAGATGGTTCTATTTGAAAAACAAAGGCCATGTTTAGACAAGCATTTTCTAGCATTATGCAAGTGGTAACACCTTTGTTAATATCACTAATAATGTTGTCTATAGGATGATCTCGATGAGTTCTCCACTCTTTGGGTAAATCAGAGTGAATATGCTCTTCTTGTATGGAAGGATTATCATCCACTTCCACATGCTCTATATTAGGTGTAGTTTCAATAATAGCATTTCCATTAAAAGTAGAATTAGGCAAATCTTCTTAATCAATGGTCAACCTTTCCTTGATTAGAGGATTGGTTTCATCAAAGGAGACATGGACATATTCTTCCATGGCTAGAGTTCTTTTGTTAAAGGCTCTATAAGCTTTTCTCGTGAGAGAATAGCCTAGAAAAATTCCTTCATCTGCCTTTGCATCAAACTTGCCCAAGTTTTCTTTGCCATTATTCAAGATGAAATACTTACTGCCAAATACATGCAAGTGTGAAATGTTTGGTTTTCTTCATTTGAAGAGTTCATAGGGGGTTTTCTTTAGAATGGGTCTTATTAGAACTCTATTTGAAACATAGCAAGCGGTGCTTACCGCATCAGCCCAAAAATACTTTGGGAGGTTAGTTTCATTCAACATTGTTCTAGCGAGTTCTTCCAAAGACCGATTCTTTCTCTCTATAACACCATTTTGTTGTGGAGCATAAAAGTTGTGATTAATCCCAAGATCATCACAAAATTCCTCAAAAGAAGCATTTTGAAACTCTCCCCCATGATCACTTCTTATAGCAGCGATTTTAAGTGACTTTTTGTTTTGGACTCTTTTAGTATAAGTGCTAAAGGCTTCTAAGAATAAAGTCCAAGTGTAGCATGAAAAATCATCTACTATAACAAGAGCATAGTAGTTACCACCAAGACTTTTCGTCCTTGAAGGGCCAAATAGGTCCATGTGTAGTAACTGCAATGGTCTATCCGAAGAAACCATATGCCTTGGCTTGAAAGAGGTTTTTGTTTGTTTACCCATTTGACATGCACCACATAGTTTGTCTTTAACAAACTTGTTCTTGGGTAAACCAACAAACAAATATTTCTTGATTAGCTTATTCAAATGGTCCATATGTATGTGAGCAATTCTCCTATGCCAAAGCCATGCATCATGAATGACATTTACAACTAAACATGTTATAGGAATAGATGAATCTATATCTGTCATGTAAATGTTAATAATTCTCTTACCAACAAGTTTAGAGTTTAGAAATTCCTTACTTTCAATGATGCACTTATATGGGTAGAATGATACATGGAAGCCCTTGTCGCAAAGTTGACCTATGCTTTGAAGATTGTGATTAAGTCCTTCCACATATAGCATTCCTTCTATGGTTGTTGAAGGTGGCTTGCCGATTCTACCGACTCCAAGAATTCTTCCTTTGTTGTTGTCACCATACGTGACATAGCCTTTGTCCCTTGGAGTAAGGATAGAGAACTTACTTTTATCGCCCGTCATATGCTTTGAGAAACTGCTATCCAAGTACCATAAATTGCGGGCGGCGCTCAAATCAACCTGCAAAATAGGTTAAGATATATTAGGTACCCAACTTGTTTTGGTTCCTACATGGTTAGATCATTTCTCAACCCATTTAAAATATCCTAGGGGAACACCATATTTTCTAATATGACAAGTATTTGGTGTGTGCCCACGATTTTTACAATAAGAACAAATAGGTTGATGCATATGTATCCTAGATTTATGTTTGCTATGTGTAGATGCATGGAGACATGTTTTCCGAAAGTCTATTATGATAGACTTACTTTGTCTCTTAAGAGCAGGGCCTTTTCCATAGCCAAGACCTCTTCGGTCCGTAAAGTGTCTTTGATCATTAATGATCTTACTCAAGCTCTTTCTACTCTTGTTCATTTTGTTGAGTTCAAGACTCAATGTAGAAACTTTGTTGCCAAGAGTAATGCAATTTAAACATGAGAATGTTGAAGGTATGTTTCTAAGAGAGTCTAGTTCAGATTTTTGTTTTAGAAACATTTTTGACAATTTCATATATTCATCATGTAGATCATTAAATGCAGTTTGCAATTCGGAAGAAGAAAAAGGGATAGATTCATTTACCTCTTCATCGTCTGAATGATGAGACGCCATAAGAGAGAGATGCGCCTGCTCTTCGCTTTCTGGTTCAGAGGCTGAACTTGTGTCGTTGTCTTCCCAAGCGATGTAGGCTCTTCGTTCATTCTTTAATTCATTCTTTCCTTTGAAAGAACTCTTCTTGATGTTTGGACAGTCCATGTTCATGTGCCCAGGTTTGCCACACTCAAAGCATGTAAAATTCTGGTTTGAAGTGGAGGCCCCATTGCTTTTGGAGAACTTCTTTATTTGCCTGGTTGTTCCGGCTTTTTAACGAAGAGGCTCATGTCATCGGTCTCTTCCTTGTCGTCTTCATCCTCCGATGAATCATATTTCTCAGCTTTTGCCTTGAAAGAAATGTTCTTCTTCTTCTCTAGTTCTTCGTGTTGATCAAGTTGACTCAATTCAAGTTCATGTTCCTACAACTTTCCAAACAAAGCAGCCAATGACATTTTCGAAAGACTTTTATTTTTCGAAATAGCCATTACCTTTGGTTGCCATGTTCTTGTTAGTGACCTTAGAACTTTTAAGTTCAAGTCACTATTTGACAGCACTTTGCCAAGTGCAATAAGATGGTTGGTGAGATGAGTAAATCTCTTTCGAAGATCCAAGATCTTATCTCCAGGTATCATACGAAACATTTCGTATTCGTGGGATAAAGTGTTGAGCCTTGATCTCTTTACCTCTACGGTACCTTCGTGAGTTGTCTCCAATGTGTCCCACATTTCCTTAGCGGATTTGCAGTTGGACACTCTAAAGAACTCATCTATTCCAAGTGCCGATGTGAGGATGTTCTTTGCTTTCAAATCATATTGCACCTTCTTCTTATCTTCATCATTCCATGAAGATTTTGGCTTTGTCTCTCTGATGTTGTTGACAACGGTAAATGGCATGTATAGTCCTTCCTCGATAGCATTCCAGAAATCCAAGTCTTGCGACTCTATGAAAATCCTCATTCTGATTTTCCAGAAGTCGTAACACTCTCCAACAAAGCTTGGAGGTCTGTTTATGTTGGATCTTTCTCCTAAGAATGATCTTGAGGCCATGTTGTAGTAGGATCATATTTTGAGAGTAACTTTCTCAAAAATAGCTCTGGTGCCAATTGTAAGACTGAGATTGCAACTAAGGGGGGGGGGGGGGGGGGGGGGGGGGGTGAATTAGTTGTTTCAATAAGTATGACCAATTTTTCTACAATATCAAAGTTAACGTGCATCGGAAATATTATGCAGAAAAATATTGACTAGGAAGGATCGAAAATTAACAAAGAGAATGGAAAGAGAGTACACAGGTGTTTTATACTGGTTCACCTTCTTGTCCATCGAAGGCTACGTCCAGTACTCTTGACGCGCAAGAGATTCACACAGTGTAATCAATTACTGGATTTGAGTAATCGATTACACAACAACACTATTTGACAGATTTGTGAATTTGCCTTAGTGTAATCGATTACATTGCTTTGAGTAATCGATTACCCTTTTTCTAAAAATGGTAATATGTTACTCCAAAATCTGTAATGGATTACTCAAAGTTGTTAGAGGTTTAAAAACTCTTTTCTCACTAT